TAAAGCATTTATGTGGGGCCATAAAGATTGACTTGTTTAGCATAAATAGCTCAAATTTGTGGGGATATAAGTTGGGATAGGGTGTGCATTATAAATAGATTAGTGGGGATACTTTGGGAACTCGGAACTATAATTAGAACTTGAAGAACATTTTTAATCTTTTGGAAAAATTTTTTTTTAGCAGTAACACACCACTTGAATTCCAAAACTTTTTCCAAATGTAACATCACTTGAACATTCATCAATTATTTACTGTAATATAGACTGAAGGGGGTACTTATCCCCGAACCCTCATAATTTAAGTGTTCTAATATAGATGTAAGTGGGTAATTTATCTCGGACCCTTTACTCCTCTGAACCCCTAAAAAACCCTTCCAATATTTCAACTTGGCAACAAATTTGTGCCAATTACCCCGTCTAACCTCGATTTCTTAGCCTGGTGTTGCAGTTTGCAGTTTGCATTCGCAATTATTTCTTCTGTTGTTGCATTTTACATGGCAATAAACCTTTTGGACGACCGCCCACGCTAAGACAAAGAACTAAAAGGTGAAACCGAAACAACATGCTAACCCCATTTCACAGCCTGAAGGGAAACGACAAGGAGGGCTACAGAAGAATGGAAAGAGACAAAAAAAAACAACAGCTGTGTTCTGTCACAAACTGATCTACCCCAAGAAGTATTCCCTATTTTATCAAAAATTATTATTTCACTATCATAAAAAATAGATAATAAATTGGTTAGATAAAAAGAAGTTGCATTTCTAGCTCTAAGAACCACTAAAAATATGCTAATCACAGTTAGTTTTCTATTCATTATATAACCCAACCCTCTCTTCTCTCTACATCTGTTTTTTAGAATCAACAGACCGTTAAATTATTTTTGTTCAGACTTCAAGGCAAATTCTTAGACAATTTACATATCCTCTCCGTACAGCTAGTTTCCAACCTCTCCCCATTTTCTTTGTATTTTATTCTTTTGGTTTTTACTATCCGACAAGTATCTAATTACCAGAAAATGCAATGGCTGGCTAAGTTTGTTTTTTCTTTACTTGGAATTTTCTGTGCCATTTAGTTTTGTAGTCTAGCAAACTGAATCATTTTTAGTCTTATCAAAATGTTCGGCGACTTTTATACGTAGGTAAGGTGCCCTTGTCAAAGCTAAATAATCTCATTAACACATATGCGCAAAGGTCAATATTAGGGCCAATTTAGACCAGACGATGTCTGATAACGATTTGACTAAATTGAAGACAAAAATTCGATTTCATACTGCATTCCACATTTATTAAACATGCCCTAATTGAAATTCAATTATTATTGAGTCACGGAAAATAAAATGGTTTTAAACTATTCAACAACAACAGCTCAACTTATTTCAGGGAGATAAGAAACCATTTCAAAATACAATTGTTTTTGTTACAGTAAACACATAAAAAAAGGAAATCCCTGAATTTAATTCCTTTTTTGTTTAGTCAACTGAACCAAATCAATTAAACCACAAATTGTTAATGAAGTAAACTTTCCTTTTTTGTCAGCTGAATCTTTTGATATTTGCATACATTTTAAACAATTTTTTGCATCGCACATGCCCGGCAATCAAAAACAGCATAAAAGAAAATTATCATTAGCAACTCTTCAGCAAAATTGAATTCCACAAAGATTTGCATACAATGGGTGGTGAAGGGAGGAGGAAAAAGGGGATGAGTCGAAGGCGGAGGAGGAGCTCATTAAATGCAAATTTTACTGCTGCTGTGCATTTTTCATGGCATAAAGTAAGACATGAAAAAAGTTTGTAAAATACACAGTGATTGGGCGAAATGGGATCAGGAATGCTATATGAAATATGCACGCTTCAATCACTTTTAGGAAGATAATAGGTAGATTTAGTTCACTACACAAAAATCATTTCCAAAATCTTCCTGAATTCCTAAATTTTATATTGTTCCCGATAGTTGAAGTCAACTTCAGTGAAGAGTATGGATTTCTTTATCAAGGGATCACTGTAAATTTATAGATTGAAATAAAAAGGCAGATTATGTTTATGGTTTCATGTGGCAAGTTTTATCGCAATCCTTTTACAATCCAAAACAAATGATGTAATCAAAAAAAGTACCCCTGGGGTTTCTTTCAATTATAGACTACAAGAAATGATCCACGCTGCCAAACTTTTGCACAAAAACCTTATAAATTTTCTTTAAAACGAATTTTTACATTTTTGCAATTGTTTAAAATGTTGTGTTATATGTTTATTACAACCACAGTCGAGGGCGGTAGGCAAAATTCGATTAAAGCACGCGAAACGCGAAAAGCAAACTGAATGAACCAGAAATTCAGGGGCAAAATAAACTAAGGCAATCAGAGAAAGAGAGACAAATGAGAGACCGAGAGAGCAAAATCGGGCAATCTTTATAAATAGGAAAAATAACAATCAACAAACAGCGCAATGACAAGGGGCTGAAGAAAGAGAGCGATCCCCCCGAAAGAAAAGTTTTTCGCCATATGTCCGAGGGTGATTCTCTCGTCGATTCACAGCCTGTCTCTTTTCTTTTTTGAACATATGGTCTTTGACTCAGAGACAGCGTAAATTATGTGGAATTTTTATATGGTCGCCCCCAACCCAAGCGCTTCCAAAATCCCTCCCCCATATTATATCTTTCGCTCATTACTAAGCAAAAGCGCAAGTGAATAAGCGTGGACACGAACCGAAAAGCAAGAGTAACGGGACGCATGCGGGATTGGATGGTATTCCCCATCCATCCCATCCCATCTCTTCTGAACACCCCCTTTTTTGTTGATGTCATCAGAGGTTCTGTTCCGTTCTTTTTGTTATTGTTGATACCTTAGGCCTTTTGCTTATTGGTTTTAATGGTAGTTTTCAGTTCCGGTTAGTTGTCTTCTTTGTTTTTCTACCTCAGGCACTATGCCGTTAGATTTATATGCCTACTAATTGACGAACCATCGCTAATGAAAGAATATTTTCTTACCAAACTTAACGGTTCGGAAAATGCCTAAGAGGAAAAGAAAAAAAACGAGCATATATATTTCGAATGAACTTGAAAATGCTATGCATGACTTCAATTGGAGGGTCTCGATAAATTTAAATCCTCTATTATATATGTATATATATAAAAAAAGTTATCTCAAGTTCACTTATATCCCTTTAATAATAACCATTGAAAAGGAACACAGTTAACAATGTGTAACACCCATCAAAAGCTTAAGCACAAAAAATAAAGTGTTATTTACTAGCTTAATTAGTTAATTTGAAACAAAAAACATTTGTATTGTCCACTTTATGTTCGTATTTTTTTAGGTTTATTATCTGCTTTTTTTTTTCTTCATCAATTACAGTCAGGGCTTTATCAATTCATAATGCCTCATATCACAATTTCTTTGAACTGCTTTTTATCTTTGTTATATTTTATTTCCTGTTTTTATTTTATATCATCAATTTCATCATTTATCAATTTTATGCCACACTAGATTTCCGTTTTTTTAATTTTTCGATAAAACACTTGACAGACTTATCAACCGCACTTTTCAATTTAAGATCAATCAACCAATATACTTGCCAGAGGGCATTAAAATTGGAAACATAAGGCCAGGGGGTTTTATTTTGATTAAGTTTTTTCACAATAGACCATATAATTAACGTGTTTTGGTTTGTTTTTTTTTTTTTTATTAAATAAGCGTTTAATAAGCCAAAGGCACCTGACACTGCTGATAAACGATTCCGATCGATAAAGAGGTAACGAAAAAAATAGAAAACACACACGAATTGAGGTAATTTTGGTTGAATTTTAAACCTTTTATTTTGGCAATTCTGCTTCAGGAGAGCAGCAGCAGCAGCTGCATTTTCCTAAGCATTTTCCTTGGCAGTTGCATTGCCCAACAACAAAACACCCGCGCGAGAGAGCGCGAGAGAGACAGAGAGGGCGGCTTTTTTCGCTTTTCCGCTTTTTGTAGTGTTGTTAACGCGGCAAGAGTTAAATGCAATCTGAGAGAGGAAAGCGCTATAAAGTCGGCGCCAAGTCGCGGCCCCTCCTCTGCCGCTGCCGGCGTCGACGTTGACGGCGGCAGAGACCGCGACTTGTTTTGGGTGCCCAAAAAACGAAAAGAAAAACAAAAAACCAGAGCCCCAAAGCAAAACAAACGCAATAGAAAAATGCCACTAATGCGACTTAGTAGTGTTGGAAATTCGCATTGCATGCACTCGCAAAATAGTATTGTAGCTATTTTAGAAAATCTATACTTCGTAGCATTGAAATAAGTTTTTAGTGAAATATGTTTGACAAAGTGTTATAAAAATAAAAATATATATATATTTTTTTATTTTTTGGAGTATCTGCCAACCAATTTTTTTTTTATTTATGCGTGGTTTATTAATAATGTTTATGTAATGGTAATGGTATTTTTTTTTAATTTTTGTTTTTTAAGCAAAATTTATTTTATTTTAGTTTTGTGTGGTTTGCTTATCATTTGTAATGTAGTCAAGAAGTTTAATCTTTGTAATAAAATTAATGACGATCGTGACAGTCTATGTCTTAAAAAAGAACAAGTTAGAAATCATTCTGCGGTCAAGATGGAATGGTTACATATTTCTTTGTAGTTCTTTTACTTCGCATATTGGATTAGGTTTTTCAGTGTGTATGTCTTAATAGAGATTTGCAAAGTGCATTTGGGTAAAGTGGATAGAAAGGCTCGAGGGAAAGGTAATGGGAGACAGCAACAGAATCGAGTGGAAAGAATCAAAAGCGACATATGCGAGAGCATCACTTGAACTAAATTGAGTCAATTAAAAGTAATGGAAAAGAAAATCAAAGGAAAATGAGTCAGGGCAGTGTACTGGTCGGGGTGCTCCAGATGAGTCAACGAGTTTGTCTGTAAAATGAGTAATTTCACCGAAATTTTAACTCGCAAAAATCAATTTAATAAAAAGAACCACTGGTTTTAGTTTGTATTTCTAATTATCCCCTTGTTAAACCAAACCATAAATGCCATTTTGGTATATTTTAGGCTCCCATATATTTTCCTTGTCGTTTTGCACATTTACTTAAAACATCGAAAGGTTAATTAAAGTGTGTTCCAAGTGTGAATGTAGTAAGTCGTTTTGCACATTAACATTAAACTTCGGAAAGGACAAATACAGCGTTTTTCAAGTGTAAATATAGTAAGAGTATTGTCGGTGTAGAAATGTACTAGCTCCCTTTTAAATGGAACCGCAGTCTGCGATGATGATCTTCTTGCTGGTCTTCCCGTCTTGGGATCCGTAGGATTCCACCTTCTGGACGATATCCATTCCCTCCACGACTTTGCCAAAGACGACGTGCTTGTTATCCAACCAAGTGGTTTCGTCAGTGCAAATGAAGAACTGAGATCCATTGGTGTTGGGCCCGGCATTGGCCATTGATAGAGTTCCAGGTCCAGTGTGCTTCAGTTGGAAGTTCTCATCGGGGAACTTGTTCCCATAGATTGAGCGTCCTCCAGTTCCATTTTGATTGGTAAAATCGCCGCCCTGGCACATGAACTTCGGGATCACACGATGGAATGGAGATCCCTTGTAACCGTAGCCCTTCTCCCCAGTGCAGAGGGCCCGGAAATTCTCCGCCGTCTTGGGCACCACATCCGATCGTAGTTCCATCACAATCCGTCCGATATTTTCACCTCCCGCAGATATGTCGAAATACACACGCGGCAACGACATCTTCACCGCAGAAGCCGTAAATTTACGTAAGAAAGCCAGATCTATTAGGGTTTATGCCTTACTTTTACGCCTTGTCCGAAAACAAGAAAACTAAAAATATTTACCGGATAGGTTGTTAAAGACAGCTTGATAGAAATAAAAATAAATTCCAAGAGAACCTTACAGCCGAACAGTAAGAACTGAACTGACCTTTTTGTTGAGATGTCTAGTAATCTAAAAAATAGGCTGGCTGAATTAAACGGCAGAGCCTGCTATATATAAGATCTGAAATCTAAGCCTGCTTTTAACATTTTTTAAATAATTGTGAATCACTTGAAAAGAGACTACTTGATTCAATGAAATGCATTTCAATCATATCATGCATTTTGCACAGATAGATCTTAAAAACACATTCTATAGATGAATACCGTTTCTAAAATTCCCCCAGATCCCATGCACTCACTGTTTGCTGTCTTTAAACCAACTAAACTTCCCACTGCGAAGTATTGCAATCTTTATTTACTCTTCTAATTTGTTTAACCGACTCTTTAATCAACGCAAGACCCGCAGATCGGAAAACGTTTAAAGCCACCATTATTTACTTTTCATTTGCAGCTGTGTACAAACTTTATATATTCAACCGATGATTGTATGTTTGCATAATTAGGCAAAAATATAGTCAATATTTATGTGGCAAAGCAAAGAAAAACTGTGAAAATTATTCAAGTTTTAAAAACCTCGCTATTGCAATTTGAATTTATTCTTTTGTTTGTTTTCAATATGACTCCTTTAAGCTTCACGAATTCCGATTTGTTTGCATTTAGCGTGTTTTGTGTATATGTTTATTATAGCATAGGCTTAGTTAGTTGCCAAGGCAACAATTGCTTTTTGGGTAGATATACATAAGAATTTCTGTAGGGGGAACTAAGAAAGGTTGGTGTACGATAAGATTTGCTGGTTACCAAGGAAATTGTAAACAAAAAGTTGCATAAAGTAAGCCACTTATATATCTATGTTTACATGTTACATATTTATAAAATTTTGAATACAGCCTTCCACGATTTCCTTATGATAATCTTTTTCTTTTCAGCCTAAAATAATAAACTCGATCTACTTTAATAAACCTTTAGTTTATCCCATCCCAAAATGCCTAAAGTTCAAGATGATTTAACGAAAGAAGTACTGGCGAAAAAAGGTAATTCACACGTAGGCCGTAATTGTTAACTCAACTCTCCACTGGCTCATTATTTATAATAAATTGTTGTGCTGCCAAATAGCGAAGACAAGAAAAGATACAACCCATAGTTGGCCAAGACAAGTGCTGCCCCAACTGAACTCGAACTCGAACCCGATTCGATTCGATTTGCTTTGACTAGTTACCCATTAATGTAACGCCCCGTTTGCCTTGGACAACCTTGTGCAAAAAATAAGATACTAAAAGCCAATATGACGTAATGGAAAGCGTAGGATTTCTACTTGCCAACTGCTCCCACTGCCACGCCCCCAGAAAATAGGCGCCTCTTTCTGGGAGTGTGTGTGAGTGTGTGTGGGAACATAAATTCACGTTATGGCCAATTCTTCGGGCGATTTTTCAGCTTAGATAAAAGGCAGACAAGAAACACTTTTGTGGGTTCGTTTTAACACTTACGAAGTGGAATCGGTAAGATAAGAGTGCTTGAGGTAGTTTGTGCTTTTCGGCCATTGTTGTGCTTACCTGGAAGTAAAGGAAAATAAAGAACGAATTATTATTAGATTTGGAATGGCAAAAATCAAGATAATGGATATGGAAATGAGGTGAATGTAAAATAAACATTACAACAACTTTAATGTCAAGCAGTAATAGGTTTAAGATAGGGTAGAGGTGAAGAAAGGGAACAAACCGGAAACAACAAAGAAAATGTAAAATCAAAAACAAACAGGCCCTAGAAAAATGTATCTAAAACTGCTAGTTCAAGAATAATATTTTACCGTCAAGAATAGCTGGGAAACCCCATTAAAAATATTTATCTCATGCCAAAAGACCGTTTTACTAATCCCCTGCCCTCATCGATCGATCCATCAACTGCAAACCGGCAAAGAAAATCGGTTTCTGCACCCACTCTCCACAAAAAAAGACCACTGAAAATGGGTTTTTGTCTAGCAGTTCGTGCCATTCCATTCGCCACCTGCTATAGGGTCGTCTTATCGATTAAACAATTTTGCTGGCACCTTTGACGCCCACCTTTAAGACCCGCCGTCACAAGTCGAGGCCCGGCACAACATAAAAATTATAAAGCCGAGCCGAATGAGATACGGAGGGAAACTACAAAAATAATACGAAAAACGAAAATCAATTTTTAACCCAAATGTGACGTTGACCCAGAAACCATCGAAATCCTAAAGACAAAGAGACCCACACACAACGAATTGAAGCATAAACGTTGCAATTATCATAATTAATGCAAATGCGCCTTAAAGTAGACCGAAGTAAAAACAGAATTAAATACTCAAAGACGTTTACGAAAACGTTTAGCCCAAATGGGGTAAAATTGCTGCGATAGGATAGATGTTGCAAGTCCATTAGGGGGAGGTTAATTGTTTGGGATGACAGAGAAATTGGGTGGCTTAGTCATAGCTCAATTATATTTTAAAACTTTGAAACGGTTCATACACTTTCTTGGTTTTCATTAATATAGTCATGAAGAATTAATTCATTCTGTGGTCTTTTATAATGAAATTATTACTAAGAAGGTTTTTATGGCACCAAGTAAATGTGATCAATAAAGTGGTCTCCAATAAAACCAAATAAAGATTTCCTTTCCTGCACACTTTTCTATATTTTTTCCTTCCTGCTGAGCCTCATTTGTATTCCATTTATTATATTTATGCATTCTATTAGCCAGACACCTGGTGGTAGTTTTTTGTTTATGCGATGTCTTGTAGGTGGCTGTTTCCAGTAGACGCCTTCATCGGCGGAGATATATGTATATATTGCCACGGGAGCAGACAAAGTCGGGTAAGATATTCAATTCGGAGATTACCAAATCCTAAACATTTTGCTTGGGCAACTTGAGTGATGTCGTCAGCGCAGATACTCCACTTGTGCATCTATTAACCCAAAAAAAAAGAAGAAAAACAGATTTCTTCCCCACATCTCTTGCAAACTCTGACAATTGAACAAATTGCAATTGTGGCATTGTCTTGGGCCTGCCTACAGTTATAATTGCATAAGTGCGACGATGCAAAACAGCTGGAAAGAGTCTAAGACGAATGCAGATTTTAATCAACCTCTGACAGCGCTGGGAAAACCTGGAAGCCGATGTCAAGATCTCCGCATCCCAAAAACCAAAAACCTTATGTAACATATTCGGTTCAATCCAGTGCGATTCGTCGTTTCTTCCGCATTAGATTGTCTGTAAAAGTGACCTCAGCTTAATTAAGCCAACGGAGCATTGAGAAAATTTGGAACTGGGTGCCGAAATTTAGGCCAACAGAAGTGAAAGAAGAATTAAATAGAAAATCGTATTTGGTGCAGTGAAAATCTTTTTGGATACGCTTAACACTTTCCTGGGCATCGGGCCAAGGTGAGATGTGGAAAGTTTCTGGGCTTTTCACCGTCTACTTTCAGACAGGGGTTAAATTTATAAATGTTTTGACTGAGTCCATTTTAGGTCATATTCATTTTACTTTAGTTACTGGCTTTACGAAATAAATACTCAGCTCATTAGTCCTAAGAATTATGCGTGGAAATGTTTATAAAGATTATATAATTCATATAAGGGATACAGTTATCGCAGAAAACATTTTCTTCTTTAATAAACCTTCTGCTTTTCCACTCGCAACTCATTTGGTATTCAACGCCAAATTTCACACAACAATCAAGCCAATTGCGACGCACTTCTTTGACTTGTAATGATCTTTTGGCCCAACTCCACCTGTTCCTCACCTGGCAAAAGTGCCCTCCCCTTACCCACAAATTCCACTTCCGTTTCCCGTAGGCCTGTTGCATAAAAGAACAATCGCACAGGGGCGTTTAAAAATTGATTCGTACGTGAGATTTTTCGCAAAAATCATTTTCACTTCTGTTTGTTTTTGTTTTCTTGGCTTTGTTTTTTCCTGTCTGCTTTTCCACCTTTCCTTTTATGGTCGTTGCTGGTGACTTTTACCAGCTCCATACTCCTTTTATTTGTTTATTTTTAGCAATTATGCAGAAAGCAATTTTACACCTGTCCCGATCACCATTACATTTGTGTATTCCTGTCACTTGATTTTTATTTTCTTTGCTTTCTTTCAGGAAATCTTAAAGTGTAAGATGGCAGGAAAGAAAGCCTTTGTCTTACCTTTTTACTGATTAAATAGGGGAAAACAAAGAGGTATGTATCCAACAAATATTTTGCATAATTAAATAAATTAAATAAAAAAAATAGAAACGATATAACTTAAAATGAATATCGGGTCCAATAACAATTGTTATGGAATCTAGAAGAGCAACTTTCGGTTCCCATTCTGGAAGCCATTGGAAAATCAGACATGAAAATGGGCTCAAATTTCGACCCTCTTCTAAAAGAACAACTTGAATGTAGAACATAAGAGAATTTTACCACAAACTCATAAAGGTATCACACTTCAAAATCGGGTTCCAATAACCCAAGTTATGGAATCTCAAAGTGCAGTTTTGAGGCCCATTCTGGAAACCATTGGAAATACGTAGAAAATCGGACATGAAAATGGTCTAAATTTTGGACCCTCTTTTAAAAGAACGACTTGAATGTAGAATATAAGAGTAGTTTACCACAAACTCATAGAGGTATCTCACATAAAAATCGGAATCCAATAACCCAAGTTATTGAATCTCAAAGTGCAGTTTTGGGTCTTATTCTGGAAACCATTAGAAATACGGAAAAATCAGACATGAAAATGGGCTAAAACTTCGACCCTCTTTTAAAAGAACAATTTAAATACAGAACATTAGAGAATTCATACACAAACTCATAGAGGTATCACACTTCAAAATCGGAGTCCAATAACCCAAGTTATGGATATTAGAAGTGCAGTTTTGGGTCTTGTTCTGGAAACCATTGGTAATACTCAAAAATCCGACATGAAAATGGGCTAAAATTTCGACCCTCTTTTAAAAGAACAACTTGAATGCAGAATATAAGAGAATTTTACCACAAACTCAAAGAGGTATCACACTTCAAAATCGGGGTCCAATAACCCAAGTTATGGAATCTCAAAGTGCAGTTTTGG